CATACAGGGATCATACTGGGATCATACTGGGATCACACAGCACGTTATGCTGGGAAATGTGGGCGTCAAACAGGAATGTGACATTTTTCACTTTATTTGAGGTTATCAGCTTCTTCTGCAACATTACAGAAAAATCTCATTTTTCAATGTTCCATCATCTCCTGTAATATTTACAGCTGTGATGAAATCAGAAGTATTGGCTTCATTTTGACTCCAAGATTGTTCACCCAGAGTTTGTAGTTGTGGAGTTTAAGAGGTTAAAGACTCATCGGACACTGAACAACGACTCATTCAGGAAACAAAGAGAGAACAGTACTTTGGGGCCTTTATGGATGACACATGTTCTAATTAATTAATGAAGATAGCAACCAACTAGACAGGTAGTATTGGAAGCAAAGCAGTGGAATCTTCTTGAGTTCATTACTGAATTCTTTTCCTAACCTTAGCTGCTCCTAAAATGTTGAGGGACATCTTTAGACATGTCACTAAGGCTCCACGGAGACTTGCAGCGAGGCAGAATAACCCCACTGGTTCCACTGGGCCCAAGTAGTAATTTATGGACTGGTTATTCAGACTGAAGCCAGCTACTTAGGCTCACTGCATTTATTCTTGTATATTATTCACCTTATTTTTAAGTGTTTGTCATGATTGCAGCATTCTCTGTCTGATTACAGACTTTTTAGGCACAGTGGTTGGTAACGTTTGTCCTAACTGTTGCACTGCATAACTGAAGTCACTATTACGTACATCACAAAGCACCTAGAGATGAGTGTTGGTGGGATTTGGAGCTATATCAACATAATTAAGTTAAACTGTGTGAACTTGTATAACAAAGAATCAGGATTGTGTTTACTAAAATGATCAGCTGTGTTGGCAGTGGCTCTCCAAGCTTTCTGCATACACTCTGTGGTTGTGCTCTCCTCCTCACAGAGTCAGAAGGGAACCCCACTGCTGACACTGATGAAGGATCCATATATAATAATAGCAGCAGGTAAGGGAGTGGTAGTACACAGTAGATGTGACAAACATCATGTCAGTGAGATATTGTGTTTTTGATGGCACTGGGAAGAGAACAGAAGGAAACAGCAGCCAAACAGAGAGCCAGCAGTTGCTTTGTTGGTCACACAGAAAAGAATACGGCTCCAAATTGTGTTGTGAGATGAGTGCTGCACAATCAGTCCACCAAAATAAACACTGTGACCTTATTGCAAATGCAGCTGCTCATAGTAAACAGCTGTGCCACTTCCTCTGGCTTTTATAGGTGCGCTCAAGAATGTCCCTGTCGAGATGTAGTAATGTTTGTAGTACAAAGGGTACATGCGTACATTTATACAGTTCGGGCATCCAGGGAGTTCAGAATCCCCCACGGTCCCTGACATGGATTATCTTTGCTGGCCCACTCATCCTCGGGCAGCATTAGAGCTCGCAGTGTTGAATTGTGAGCTTTGCCTTTTGCATAGAGCTCTTTATGACGATAACTGTCTCGATAGTCAGACAGTCTCCTACAATAGTCATAATAACATCACAAATGGGTTGATTATAGCAGCAGTTATTTCTTTAGCAAAGGCAAATTTTCCAGGTACATGTAGAAGCAGAAGTTATATACAGGAAATATATTTGCCTTGATTTATTAATTTACCTCAAAAAGCACAAGTTACACAAGCACAAACATACTGCAGTCACAGCTTCTGTGGGAAGACTGAATATGACAGATGATTATTGTCATTCTGGTCCTTCGTATACTGTGGACTTTTCCTCAGATATGATCTTTGCCAACCAAACTCTGAGGTTGGCCTGTACCGCTCTCCTTTTACACTCTGTCGTGGGTGATTTCCATTCATAACACGGGTCTGCAACCACAAAGCTGCATGGGGTTAAATCACTGTTTCTTATAGATTTTCCATCTGGTTCAGTTTTCTTGCAAAACTCATGTTTTTAGTGTAGTTAAGCGTACAATTTCCCTTTTTAAACTGAAATCTGATATCCTGTACTTGAGTCAAAACCCATATCCCACAAAGATTTCTTACATTAATGTAATATTCCTACGAGCGAGACTCGAGAGAAACACAAATAGAAAATGGGAGGAAATGAGGGGGAGGGTGCGGCGGGTTTGATGGTGTGAGGAGCTCAGACGATCAAATCCAACCAGGTTTATTTTGTTCATAGCCAAAGGTAAGAAATCACAACAATGATGCATAGCTCATTGTACTAAAATATTGATTTTCATTCCTGTTGTGCTTTTTTTTAATGTAAACTCTTCATGTTTTGCAAAATAATAACTTCACGATGGAGGGAGATCATTTTTGGATTCAGGACCCAAAAAACATCGCATTGACCAAAAATCCCCCCACGCACTCGTTTTGTTTCTGCAGACCTGTGTAATGGATCACACTCAGCCTGGTCCCTCTGTCACTGTAAGGCCTTTGTTTGCTCCTCGTGTCTGTGAAATGTCATATATCAGCTTTTCCCTGCATGTCAATTATGTGGCAACATGGAAAGAAAGAAAGCAGGCTGTACACTCGTCGGTGTGTGGACGTCGGAGCTGGGGAAAAACGTCAGGTTAAAAACAGACGATAATTGACGCCGCACTTATCTTCAATCTTCATCCCCAGGTGCCATTTGTTTTGGAAATATGGCTATTGGCATGATGGAGCCAACTGTGCCAATCTGGATGATGGAGACCATGTGTGCCAGGAAATGGCAGCTAGGTATTTACAAAGCTCTGCTCTGCACACAAAAACACGTTGTTACAGCACCTTTATAAAAGGCACTGCTGAGCATCCTAATGCAGTTTAACAGCACACATGTACCACTGAGCTTGGGAAGGTGTAAATGCTGAGTTTGTGTTGCAGGTGAAGTTTATGATTACAACCCAAACTGGGGCTGCTTCTGTTGTTGTAGAGCATCCTCGCCCAAGTAAATGTAATTAACACGTCTGTGATAATGTCTATTAGGTCTGTTGTATTATAATTACACAAACAGAATGATCATTTTTGTGTAACAGCACAGTCAACCACTGTTTACAGAGTCCTTACAGCTCGTATACAATGATTATGATTAAGTAGTATTTTCATACAAATATCATGGAGGCAGAGAAAAGAGACAGAAGTGTCCTTGCACCGCTGTGTGAACACCACTCATCTGTTTCACAGTAAATATCTGCACACATGCATGTATGGTCACCTGCTTCCTGTTTCAGAAGAGCCGTTCTTCTACAGATCTCCCCCGGCTGAAAGGGAGTTCTTCCTTCCTGCTGTCGCCAAGGGCTTTCTTATAGAGGGCTGTCTCTATATCAGGGTCCTTACCTGTAGCTGTACACAAGCTTCCTGAGGCGAATGTTGTTGTGATTGCGCACTACATAACTAAACTTTAATTTCATTTATATTTTATATATAGTGATGTCGTGTAAAAGTGCCACTTCGCCATCATGCCAGATAGTTTCCATACCAAGACTTCCTGTAGTCTGTGCTGTTATTAGCTTCTTCCTGCAGCCAGCTTTATATAAAGTCTGGGTCAGATAAAAAGGATGAGGGGGAACAGGATATTAGGGTGTCAGATGCTGGCAGGTGGAAAGCACAGGTCTTCATTACGGACAATAGAAGATGTACAGCAGCTCAGTGATGAGGCATTGATAGAGATCTGCTTATCTCTGGGAATCCTGGCTACACCTTCAGCCTCTCATGTCTCTGTGTGTCTGTTTCTGGCACAGGCGTTGCTTTCTTACCAGCATCCATCTCCTACCTTATTGGAACCAACATCTTTGGCACGTTTGCACACAAAATGGGGAGGTAGGAAGGGAAATTACTTTTATCTCCTTCTCTCTCTCTCTCCTGGTGGCTTTGTCATATCTGTTTCCGCTCCTCTAAATGAGTTTTCAGCGTTTTGAGTGTTTCTGAGACTGGCTTTATTGAAGCCTTGACGATACAGGGAATCTATCTGTCTATGACCCGAGTGCTATATTCTTTTAAGGCTGTTGCTAATGCCAGTCACCAGAACTGTTTTCACCATAACCCAAGTCGGAACATCACCTGTTCAGTTTACTAACTTCTCCACTACAGAGACTGCCAGACAAGCGATGTTTATGTATAATGGGTTTTTTAAACGTAAAAATCTTACGTGTTACATACTTTTTTTAGTCTTTCTTTACTTGGCATCCAACACATTTAATCCTTCTTGAGTTTTTTGACTTAATTATCAGTGGTTTGTTGAAAACAAACACATGGTGTACCATGAGGGGCGTACACATTGAGAAATTAGAGAACTGTTCCCAACAAGACTGCAGCTCATGTCTTGAATTCTTGGGGTTAGCTCATGTTGCAACACTAAAAGAGGTTTAAACAGTCTTTTTCACAATATTTAACATGTATTATATGTCAGAGGTGACTAGTGTGCCAAAGCACAATCAAAGAATACACCCCGAAAACTGCACACATCTTGCAATTTTATTGTTAAAACAGCTATGTTACTTAGTAGGTACTGTACTTTTTATGAGTCTTCATTGAGCTACTAGGTCCACCTCTGGGTATCTGCACATGTGCCAAAAATGCTCTTATTGGGTTGTCTGTTCACAAGAATACTTTGTACTGGTTGTTATACACCACTTTTCTACTCTACCTGAACACTCAATACACTTTTTTGTATTCACCCATTCACACAAGCACATATGTGCTTTCAAACATTGTCACACATTTATACTACAATGGATGCGTCACATAGCAACTCTCCCCCAACACTTGGCATGCAGACCTGCTCTACGTCCTGAGCTACAGCCACGCCCCTCGCTGCCCTTCAACAGAAGACTGCTCAAAAACTAACAAAACAATATCTGCCCAAGGGATCGCCTGTCTTCTTCCCCCAATCTGTTCTACTATGAACATGATTTCTTTGAATGTTTTCAACCCAGCTGTGTAATCCTTAGAACTGGTTTGATGACATGACTGTCATTCATCGTCATGTGGCTGTTATTCACAACTTTTAGATTATGTGGAAGTGAAAATATTGATATTTATTGGAGGTTTGTAGATCTTACTCTGGACACAGTCTGAATATTTCACACTACATAGTTACAAGTGTGGTGCTTAAACAGGACAGTGTTGCCTTCAGCAGCATCGCAATGAGTTTTGTGAACATTTACAACATGTTGATCAATTTAATGTTACACATTAGCCCGATAAACATAAACAGCTCCACAATGTAATGTAAGTCCATGGAAAAGCTTTTCCACTGTTGGGTAGCTAGTCAGAATTGGCATCAACATCAAACTGACCATATTTTTCTTCAACCAAACACAAAACAAAAACACAAGAAATGCTTTAAATAAAAGTTATAGAACTGTCATGGCTGCTGGGGCAGAATCTAAACAGGGAGGAAACTAGAAACAAGTAAATGGTAAATGGTCTGCATTTGTATAGCGCTTTTCTAGTCCATAGGACCCCAAAGCGCTTTACACTACATTCAGTCATTCACCCATTCACACACACATTCACACACTGGCGATAGCAAGCTACATTGTAGCCACAGCTGCCCTGGGGCGCACTGACAGAGGCAAGGCTGCCGGACACAGGCGCCACCGGGCCCTCTGACCACCACCAGTAGGCAAACACGGGGTTAGTATCTTGCCCAAGGATATTTGACATGCAGCCAGGAGGCAGCCTGGGATCGAACCACCGACCTTCTGATTAGTGGCTGACCTGCTCTGCCACCTGAGCTACAGTAAAAAGAAACTAAAAGACCTGAGATATGGAACACAACACATGGAAACCTGGATCATGGGGAATGTCATGGGTGTCACGTGGGGCACGCAGGCAGGGTGGGGCGTGCAGGCAGTAACAAACAGAGGATGACACAGGGCTTTAATACACAGGGAGAACGAGGGAACGGGACACAGTAGGAGAGCACAGCTGGGAGTAATTAAACATGACAAGAGGCAAAACTATTATGTTTTCAAAGTAAAACAGGAAACATAACATAGGACACGGACTGTCAAAGTAAAACAGGAAACATAACACAGAGATGCAGCCTTGACAGGGCAGACAGAGCAAACATGGAAGACTAAGAACCATAAATAACACTGAAACCAGTGACTAGAGACTCTAAGACGAAACATAAATAAACCTGAAATTAGATTTTTTTTTCAATCTAAACTTGATCTCCAAGCATAACCCTTGTAGCCAAACACAGCAGTAAGACATCTCTTGGTCACCAGGTGTGATTTTGCCAGAATGCTCTTTAAAGAAAGACCCACGACCCATCCTTCCCTTTGGTTGAGGCAATGAGGTTCTCATCTAACGCTCCCCAGTCCATGGCTCAGTTTTGGTTTCATCTGACCACAGCACTTTCTCCCAAGCCTCCTCTGAACATCTTTTAGATGTCCACATGCAAATTCAAGACAGGCTTGAACATATGTCTACTTGAGAAGGGGGACCTTGCAGGCACTGCAGGATTTTTATCGAACTACCTTCAGCTCTTTAACAGGTTCCTTCAGTCTAGTTTTGGGATGTTCCACCACCTTCTCATTATCAGTTGCAGAGCTGTTGTTGACTGCTCAGATCTACATGTAGAATGACCTTTTTCAGTGGGAAAAACATTTCATCACTCATTCAAGTGACCTCTTGAGTCTAGCTGACAGCAGCTTACCCAAACCTATAAACAGGACATTTGCATAATGACTGACACTACCATCACGAGTAACAATGGGCTGTGACTATTAGCATGTAAAATGTCACGAGCATTGATGAGAGTGTTGGGGAATAGCTGCAATCACACTATTGTAAGATGGTGAAAGACGTACCCAAACAAACAGTCTGCTTTCATTTTTTAAAAAGTCCACAACTGTGTCACCAGCAAAGCAACCCCCCCCACACACACACACACACCATCACACTTCCTCCTCCATGCTTCACAGTGGGAACCGTGCATCGAGACCATTGTTCACCTTTTCTGCTTCACACAAAGACCGAGCAGGCCGAACCAAAGATCTCAGATTTGGACTCCTCAGATTTCCACTGGTCTGATGTCCATTCCTGTGGTTCTTGGCCCAAACAAAGTCCTGGTTTCTCAGCAGCTGATCATAAAGGCCTGATTCACACAGTCTCCTCTGAACAGCTGATGTAGAGACGTGCCTGCTACTGGAGCTCTGTGTGGCATCTATCTGGGCTCTAATCTGAGGAGCTGTGATTTCTGAGGCTGCTGACTCGGATGGATTCATCCTCAGCAGAGGGACTCTTGGTCTTCCTTTCCCGGGGCGTCCTCATGTCAGACAGTTTCATTGTAGCGCTTGATGGTTTTTGCGACTGCACTTGGGGACACATTAGCAGTTTTCCAGACTGACTGACCTTCAGTTCTTACAGTAATGACAGGCTCACCTGTGAGGTGAAACCATGTTGGTTCAAATTCAAATTCAAATTCAAATTTTATTTGTCACACACACACAACCATACACAGTATGACATGGGGGTGAAATGCTTGTAGCTGTACAATGCCCGACCATTAAATGACAGAAGTTTTACAATATTTACAATTTACTACAAAATTTACAAATGAACTTAGGAATTTACAGTAAAGAATGTGCAAATAGCAGAAGAGATTATAAAGATAAGGATTATAAATTATAGGAATTATAGGATTATAGGAAATGTGTGGTGGTGCGTGTGGTGACGTGTGTGAGAGTCCAGTCTTATAGTGACGTGTTTGGGAGAGTCCAGTCCTACACCTGGTTCAGGGCCCGAATAGCCTGGGGGAAGAAGCTCCTCCTCATTCTCTCTGTTTTGGCCTTAAGGGAGCGGAAGCGCTTCCCAGACCTCAACAGTGAGAAGAGTCCATTGTTGGGATGGGAGAGGTCCATCATAATCTTCCTAGCTTTGGACTTGCACCGCTTGGTGTAGATGGACAGCAGGTCAGGGAGCTCTGATTGAATGATGCGTTCTGCCGAGCGCACCGCCCTTTGCAGATCTCGTCTGTCCTGCTTGGTGCTGTTCCCAAACCAGGTGCAGATGTTTGACGTCAGGACGCTCTCGATGGTGCAGGAGTAGAAGTTCTTGAGCACCTTCAGTGGCAGATGGAAGTCTCTAAGTCTTCTGAGGAAGAAGAGACGCTGACGGGCTTTCTTAACCAGGGTGTTGATGTGGTGACTACATCATGAAGCTCACTGAGAGCAGGCCGAGGGTTTGCAGCCGTGGGTGGCTACTTTCAGAAATGTTTAGAGATATTTACCATTATGACGTTCATAATTCCATATATCTTGCTTAATGAATATTTGATGTCTTCAGTTTGGATCTACAACGTAGAAAGTAGTAAAATAAAGACAAACCATTAACCATGTCCAAATATCTGACTGGTAGTGTACGCCATATCACTGTGGCCTGCCCCAAGGATGGAGTCCTCCAAGAAAAACAAAGTTCTCTGATTTCCTTACATGGAAGACTGAGCATGCATCGATATTGCTTAGCTCAGCGGTCCCCAATCCCTGGGCCTCGGACCGGTACCGGTCCGTGAGTCGTTTGGTACCGGGCCGCGAGAGTTGAGGCTCAGGTGTGAAATGTTTAGTTTTCAGGGTTTTTATCGGTTTTCAGCGTTATTTTGTTATCGTTTTTATCGTTAACTCGGTTTTCCTGGGTCTTTTCACCTGTGTTATGAATAAATCTTCTTTTTTTCGGTACTAGTTTTATTTTGTTGGATTTATCCGCCACACCTTAAAGGCCGGTCCATGAAAATATTGTCGGGCATAAACCGGTCCGTGGCGCAAAAAAGGTTGGAGACCGCTGGCTTAGAGGTTGCAATGATTATTCTGACGTTGTTTGATATTGTTTGGTTTGTGCTTACATGAGTCTGTTTAAGAAAGAGGAAGTACAGACGAGGTTCTGTTTAGCCTGGAAAATACATTTTATATTCTCATGAAAGGAAATCTTCCTCAGTGTGGTAGTGACTGACTACTTCTTGTCTCCCTTACAGATGGCTTTGTGCTCTTATTGGAATGGTTGTGGTTGGGATCAGTGTAATATGTGTAAGTATGTGACAGTCAGCTACATCACTAGAATAACTTCAGAGGTCACCTATGGGAAATGTAATGAGCCCTGTTGAGTAAAAAGTTTGAAATGGACCTGAAACATTGTTCTTTAAATGTAAACAACGCATGCATCATGTAAGCCAGCTGGTATAAATGTAACTTTATACCCATTAAATGTTCACTGCAGTATGTAGTGCCTTATGTGTGTGTTAAACCAGATAAGGACTTTTTATATTTAGAAAAGCTAAAAAATGCTGGAGCAAGAGTCACAGCTCTGTATGTGCCTGATAAACAACACAGATTTCCTGTTTCACATTACTCTGCAAATCCAGTTCTGCTAATGGGAGTCTGACTTCTCAAGGGTTTCCATGATCAAATCTAAAAGCAACTGTCTTTTTTCACTGTTTTTAAAATTGCTGATTATTATATATTTTATATTATTCATTAAAATGATCATTTGTTTGTTCTAGGTTCCCTTTGCTAGAGACATCTATGGTCTGATTCTTCCTAACTTTGGTGTTGGTTTTGCCATTGGTAAGATTACTACGTGTACTGATTCCACCTATGAATGTGTGCAGACTTTGATCAGGTAAGAGCATTATGATTGTGTTACAGGCATGGTGGATTCCTCTATGATGCCTATAATGGGTTACTTGGTGGACCTGCGGCACGTGTCTGTTTATGGAAGTGTGTATGCGATTGCTGATGTAGCTTTCTGCCTGGGATTTGCAATAGGTAAGCAAGAGCAAACGCCATAAAACATCCATATGTTTTAACCTCGGGCTAAAATAGCAGTATCAGTTCCTGGAAACCTTTTGTCATCTTGCTTGTGTAATGGTGGAGAACTAATCCTTGGCTAGAGACACACAGAGGGGAAATGATTTACAGCTACAGTCATTGCCATGGCATTCATGCATACATCGTGGACATGAATGCCATAGCTATTTATGTTTAGGATTTCTTTGAGCTGTTCATATTTAAGTGTGGAAGCATTGTATAACATATTCCAAAAAACGTACTCACCCACCCAATCAGCTCATTGTTTTGAGGAGTTGCATTCACTTCGATGGACACAGGTATTCTACAAACATCTGTGATAGAATGGGTCATTCTCAGGAACTCAGTAATTCAAGCATGGTACCATGATAGTGTTCCACCTGTGCAACAGCTCCACTGGTGAAATTTCCTCACTACTAAATATTCTGCACGACTGTTATAACAAAGTGGAAGGTCTAAGGAGCTTGGAAAGAAAAGCGTCTGGACTTCTTTAAGTTACTTGAAGACGTTTCACCTCTCATCCCAGAAGGACCCCTGATGATCCTCTAATCGCCTGAGCCAAGGTGTGAAACTGGGTGTGGGTCCCAATCAGCCAGAGTTTCGGGTGAGCTGTGAAACCTGACCCCACCTTATCATGTGATTTCCTGAGGTCAGATGGCTCAGGATGTGAGTGGGCGTTAAGGCGACTGTCTGCCACACCCGCTTTCACACCTTGGCTCATGTCATTAGAGGATCATCAGGGGTCCTTTTGTCCCTCTGTGGGGGGAAACTCCCACTGGGTTTAAATCTGGGACTCTCCACCATTTGACCTTAGAACTGAAGAAGCTTCTGGGATGAGAGGTGAAACGTCTTCAAGCAACTCCAGACGCTTTTCTTTCCAAGCTCCTTAGACTACGATGACCTGGATGACTGAGAACCTTCACAGACAACAAAGTGGAAGCATTTGGAGACGAAAGCAACTCAGACACAAAGTGGCAGGCCACATAAAATCTGATCGCTTAGCTGCTCTGCAAGGTGATGAACTCCACCAAAGCAACAGACTAAACCAGTAAGTGGTCCGTTTTCTCCTGATGCAGGTCCATCTATTGGAGGTTCCATTGCTGAAAGTATTGGCTTCCCTTGGCTGATGACCATCATTGGAATAGTGGATATAATATTTGCTCCTCTCTGCATCTTTCTGAGGAACCCACCAGGACAAGAAGAGAAAATTGTAAGAGTCCAAATACACCTAAATACAGTCAGCCAGCTCCTACATCTGTCACAAAACAGCTGTGTGGTAGTCCAAGGGCAGAGCCAACGATTCGGGAGACAGGAATGAATTCAAAAAGCAGTTTTAATGCCGTTACCTGAGAGAGAGAACTAGAAAAATCAGATCAGAGAAGCACACAACCATGAGGGAACACGTGACAAAGCACGAGGACAAACTCAAGCAATAAATACAGAGAAATGCTCCTGAGCTAACACCAGAAATGCAGTGATTATGTTACACAACTTGAGTACAATATGTAAATTTCAAAATTCAGGTTCTGTCAGAAAGTTTTCAAAATCATGCACAGTTAAAAAAAAAACAACCAAGAGCAGCCACTGAAACACTTTTCAACAACTGTCATTTCAGGCGATTTTAATGGACACAAACTGTTCAATGAAGACGAGATCGTACTCTACTCAGGGGGCATACTACCAGGGTGAAGACATGGATCCAGAATATGACGATTATGATTAACAGGACCCCAGCCATGCAGGGTAACCCTTCAGAGGATCTATTTTGTTGTACAAAAAGAAGGAATAGAAGAAAATCACAGCAAATGAAACGAAACAGCCAAGATATTTCCACGTGAATGTCCTGCATTCAATCGTCACTGTTCACTGTCTTCTTAGCAGTTGTACTGGAGCAAACCAAAGTTGTCCTTTATCTGTGGTCTCAAGCGCATTGTGTTGCACGTATTTTGTTTAGCCAACAGCCTTATTCGATGGGAGCAAAACACCTTTTAGGTGCAGTTTGCTGAGCTGTCTTTATCCATGTACTGGACATTCAGTTTTAACATAACAGCCCTGGGTATTAGTGTCAGATTTAGGTGTGTAACTTGGTATTAAAAATGGGGATTTGTGCGATAAGTGGAGTTTGTCAAAATCCAGGAGGATTTGTCAGACGATTTCTTTTGATATTTCCATGAAAGGCCTCCCCTGCACCGCTGCTGTAGATGACCTGTGTCAGGAAGTTACTTAGATGAGGAATGTATTCTTAAACACATTATCAATACATGTTTATCCTTCTAGCAAGAACACAGACTGCATGTTTTTAGAATCTCTGCAACCTTCAATGATAAAAGTCAATTAGAATAAAGCCCATGTCCAGATTACACCAGTGCTACCAGCATATACCACAGCTTAGTCACACGCATACTTTAGCACAACAGCATGGACCCCGTCTTGGGGCTCTGGTCTGCAATGGTCGGCTTACTAATAGAAATAAACATGTTACAAAAAGTCTTTACAACTATTTTCCTCATTCACAACAGACGTATGAGGTACTTTTTAAATAATGTACACATTATTGTGTGAATGCTTTGATGAAAGGCGACCCTACACAGGTCCTGTTCATGCTGCTGGTGAAGCATTTGTCTGCTCTGGCGGAAACCAATCTCCAGGTTCTGCCCTACCTTCAAAGCCTATTAGACAGTTTATATGGTTTATGGATGCAACTTGCTAACCACTCTAGCTAGCACTGATTTCACTCATATGGACAAAAGTACTGTGTTGCTGACACATTACCCCTGCATACTGTGCTCAGCCATGGAAACCAGTTACTGAGTGTTGATTTTTACACAGTAGCATTCAGTGACTCCCGACTGTAACTTTACCTGTTACACTGTGGCTGAGCTGCTGTAACCATAGCGACTCTTAACTCTGGAGGGGAGAGGTTTGAGTTTATACACCTGTGGCATTGTCACTGAAAACACCTGGATTCCAATACTTTTGTCCATATGGCTCCAAAACAGCAAACCTCTACGTGTGAGTCGGGAAAATAACAATGGCATCATGAAGGCTGTGTCCATATGTGGACAGTTCGCTGTAGGCAGAAGAGCAGAGTTGTAAGAAGACACATTGGACCTTTATGCTTTCTATTGCCTCAAAACTGCCAGTGTAGTTTCATACTGATTAATAAATCAGTGTCTGCAGCAAAAGATTTGGACTAATTACTGTTGCTTTAAATGTTCCAGTCTGACTGGCATCTGAGAAGTGCTCGTTATATGTCATAGTTTTGGCAAACGAAGAGCACCAACGTCCGTTTGGACACAGTTTGGTTTGTAATGTTAACTGGACTCAGGTCTGGGCTCCTTCTAATGGCTCAGTGCATACTGGGACTATGAGCTGGATGACTTCATAAACACTGACACAATCCTGACTTTAACCGTAAGCTCTTCACTTTATAAAATAGTGTAAAAATGCATAATTGCAAGACTTTGTTGGGCGCAGAGTTTTATGTGTACTGGAATATATTTATTAGAACAAAAATTCAAAACAGACAGAAGGAAACTGATTTAAAATAAAACTTTAATTCATTCATTTCTGAAGGGAACCAGATGAAGCATACAGATCCTGTTGGACAACACAACAGCATGCAGTTTCTGCACTGATTTTTATTGTGGCCAATAGTGGAAGCAGCAGCATTTTGATTGACAGTTAGAAGCGTGTAACCAGCTGCGGTTGAGTATGGGGTAGGGTTGTTTCCTGGTGACCTTGCCCTGAGCCTTTCTGAGCCATCATTAATGTTGTTTCTTACATCTGTGCTTCCTGTGCTGTGTCAAAATATCAGTTATGGAAAAGACAAGAAGTCTGTGTTGAGAAGCTGTATCTGTTTAGTACAATCACAACGAGCTCCACCAGAGCAGAGGACTAGGTCAGCATACTGGAGAACATGTTTATTGTTGGCTTTGATATGTTGGCAGCTGGCAGCAGCTGTGTGCTATACTGCTAACCTAGAAACACTTGTGATTGCAGCGATGTGCTCCTGCATTCTGCTGGCTTGTATGTATGAAGTGCATCTGCAACAAGAACTAGCAAATACAAGCATCCGTGAGTCAGGATTGTAAGATCGTAAGCTTCATGTGTAGCAGTGACAATGACAGCGTGAGGCAAGAGGGCGTGGCCACATTTAAATCAGGTACAGAATGCGACTCATGACGCAGTGTGACTGGACGTCATTCACAATCATCATTCGTTTATAGGTGAGCCCAGAAACATCCGAGTTTGTAATGATAATAACGAATCCTTAATTAAATTGCTTGATAGAAAATAAAAACACATGCACAGGGTCACTTCAAGTCAAATTTATTTGTACGGCTCTATTTAGACATGAGGTAAATCAGAGCGTGTTCACAGAGGGAAAGAAAGTTTAAAACATACGATAGTGTGTATGATGTGCACGCTGTGTACTCGACACAGCGTGCACATCATACAGTACTATACCGGGTCAAGAACATAAGCTACCTTCAGCTGCTGATGCACAACGGATGGACCGTTTGATCTGACGCAGACAGTCTTGGCAGTGGCAGGCATCCCCTCACACTCTTGAACCTCGATGTGTTAACCACTACACTATGGAGCAATGGTGTGAATGTTATATTAGAAGTGCAGAACTGGACTGACCTTCTATTACAAGCTTAATTCATCCCAACTGAAAGCAAAGACAGAGAAACGTCTGTATCATGACAGCGTAGCTGAGCTTACAGGATAACTAGCTTGTGCAACAAATGATTATTGAATGCAAGCTGGATTCAGTGCAGTTTTTGGCTCCGCCCCGTAACCTTTGAACCATCATGAGATTATGTCTTAAGATAGATGACAGATCATTTTTTGTTTCTTTGTAGTATAGCGCTGTTTGTCAAAATGTTTGTAAAACTACAAACTAATTAGTTGTTACATTTTGATGGCCTTGTTTCTTAAAAAGGTTCTTGTAATGTTTATGGTGTTTATAATGTACTGAATCTTGTGCCATATGCTTTTTCTTTTTCCTCTTTCTGAACTGTGAAAACCTGTACTAGATTTAAGCAAGAGTAAAACACTACCATTAATATAAACCATCTAGACTTGTTTATCCAGAACGGGCCTCGCTGGACTGAGCTGGGATCAACACGCCCAACACTCCTCTCTGAACTCTAACGACCAATCTACGAGTCGTTTCTGGGTATTTTTGTGCACGTTTTGTGGTTTTGGTCAGAATCTATTGAAAATATGTCACTTTGTCAGTCTTATATGTATTTGACTGGATTGTTTTTCATACTTGTGGGAACACCATATGCTCTATTAAATGTTGTATACTGTGCAAAAGCAGTTTTCTCCGTAAAGACGACACCTCCAAATATCTGGACGGCAGGATTTTCTGCACAATTAACCTTTGGTGAATTTAAAACACTGAGCATTCAGACCAAATGTTGGTCGAGCTGAGGCTTCATATCATCCACATGATACCTCAGAATGTACACAAAAATAACATGCGTGTGGCTAACACGTAGCACTTTAACAGGTCCCAGAAATCCTCATGTTGATTAGTCGTGCCGAGCGCTTGAAGACAGCAGATGTGTTGTCATGACGGGGGAATGTGGGAGCAGACACTCTGTAATCAGGCTGTCCATCTCAACACTGGCCTTCAATTACTTTGCAGATGCTCACACGATACCTCTTTTCCCTCTTCACTGAAGCCTGAAACACTTGTTCTTGCAGCAGTGTAGGTGAACCAGAGCTTTCTATGTAATATTACATTTCTGTGTGCAGCTATTTTACAAATTAGTTTCACAATTTCTGAAGGGGGCGGGGCTATGGCCTTAAATGGTACACTACACAGCCTTCAATGAGGAGCTGGGGACACACTATCAAAGATCATCATTCAATGACACTAGCAGCGGTGCTGTCTCTGCTGTGATGATTATCATTTTCAATGGTAAAGCAAAACAAAATCCTTAATGCGTTAAAAAAATAGCAGAGATGAGAAGTTATCGATGTATTTGATTGGAAACGAGTCTACAGCCTCGCTGCTAATTTCACACTATGTTCAATCCGTTGCACTTTGTTATTAGACTGTTTTCCAGTCATTCAAGCATCATTTGCAAATGTTTAATCAGACTGTTTCTTACTGTCGATCACTTAAAACTGTCAAGTTATCTTTGTGACTCAGTTCAATGAAAATGTTAATGAATTAATTAAATATGTGACTTAAAGGCAAAATGAAGACATTTAAACTCAAATTCTAAACTTAAAGGATCATTTGAAAAACCTTTTAGAGGTTTTAAAGAATTGTTTAAGACATTAATGGGTTGGTTATTTTGGGGGTTAACCTAGTGCAACCAAAGAATACAGCAAAGGTACTGAGACATGGCGTCAGGCCACTCGTATACGGTAAATGAAAGGCTTGCACTTGGAACTTAAAAACTTTCTTGGGTTTCAAAGAACAACTTCTAAAAAACTTCAAGAGGAAACTACTGCAGCGTAGAGAAGGGGACCTTATTTCTGTCTCCATGAACTCTTTCAGCGTAGCTTCACAGCTCAAAGTAGCTTTCTCTTTGAACTGTGAATATTTCCACATTAAGAAGCTGCTGTCAAGTGTTTTCACAGGTTAGTCTTATTCTGTATGTCTGTGAAGGAACGTCTCTTTCAGACAGCAAAAAAGGCCATGAACAACTGTATTACACAACTTTGGCTCTTTGCAGACATCAGCACAGACAGCATGCTAACGGTAAGCTAGCCAAGACTGAAGTGAATGCAGGCTGCAGCATTCACAGCCCAAACTTCAACACAAAGAGCAGTGATGAGTAGTCAGTCTCCGTTTCTAAAGCACAGTCACTGTTGTAATCTTTAAAGTCTCTGTGCAGGTTTTGCTTTGTGTTCATGCCTAAATACTGAGACAGACACGCATGTCCTCGTTAGGATAGGGATTTGTGTTAGTGTGTGCGCCTGCAGCCTACAGGTTTATAATGTTAACTGGTAATTATGTAAGAATGTGTTTCAGGTCAGGTCAGGGCAGCACGGTGGTTAGCACTGTTGCCGCACAGCAAGAAGGTCCTGAGTTCAATTCCACCATCAGGCCGGGGTCTTTCTGTGTGGAGTTTGCATGTTCTCCCCGTGTTTGCGTGGGTTCTCTCCGGGTACTCCGGCTTCCTCCCACCGTCCAAAGACATGCAGCTTGTGGGGATAGGTTAATTGGATAATACAAATTGCCACTAGCTGTGAATGTGAGTGTGAATGGTTGTGTGTCCCTGTGTGTTAGCCCTGCGACAGACTGGCGACCTGTCCAGGGTGTACCCCGCCTCTCGCCCTATGACAGCTGGGATAGGCTCCAGCGCCCCCCGCGACCCTGAAAAGGATAAGCGGAAGCGAATGGATGGATGGTGTTTCAGGTCATTTTACAGAGAAATGCAAAAGTAATGTAACAAGTAGTGTAACAAATGACGTGCTCCTGGGAGTAATTAAGTAACAAATGCTTTTTGGCAATGGTGGTCACTCCCAATGTGGAGCCAACGAGAGCTCGATGAGAATCAAAAGGAAAGTTCGACAAGTGATATTGAGAATGGAACGGCTTTAAAACAGCCTTTCACACTGCCATTGGTCCCGATTGGTAAATGTAGCTTAGCTCTTCCTAAAACACCCTCTTATATGTTCCCTTTCTTTGACCTCACGCTGAGCCAACAGTAGAACAATCGATCTGAAACTGAGCACTTAGAGCAACGTAAAGGCTGAGGTTTTGATGCACATAAATACATACATGCACTTTTCCTACTGTGTGGCAATTTTAGCACAGAAGTCAAACTGTACAACGTTGTCATCATACATATTCACACTGGTCTTTGCATGTAGCGTTATAGGTGCACCTCTCATGAAAACAGGCCCAACTGAGCAGCTTTCCCATCCATAGATGGTCCTGGTTTCTGTGGGAAATATGGTGTTGGCTTTAAGCCACTACGTTTCCAAATTCAATCTGAATACACCGTGCTAGTAGTGTCATAGCTAACTTTTGGTTTTGGCCTTCCAAGTGGAACTTCTTGATAGTAAAATAAAGCTTTTTGTGACGCTGAGTTCACTACAAAGGCTGAACGATGGTGTGCCGGTCATCACGTGAAGACTTGCATCAACGTTACTGTCATAAGCCCCGAGTTTCTCCCGACGCATTAATCAATAAGTGTTGGTTCGAAATAACTTGGGCACAGAGAAAGCATTTTGAACGTCTGTGTGAATGAAACTGGTAGTAAAGAGCGTTTTAGCGCTCAAGCAGAGAAGCAACAACACGATGAATCAATGGGAGTTCATGTGATTGTTTATTTAGCGTATGTACAATAAAGCTTCATCACACGAGGCTTTCTCAAAAAACAACATCCGTCATACATACACACAAAAAACACACCATCTCAATCTGCTCAAAGCAGTGGTCAAAGCAGTGGGCGGAGCTTTTACTCACTGTGGAGTTTCCACGGTGAGGGCTGTGAGTGGGGGCAGAAGCGTGTGAGTTCAGTGGACGAGGAAAAGCAGCAGCAGCGCTTCATAAAACAAATATTGCACAAAGATCAAAAGACAGCTATAGCAACCAGTGTGTCAATATCCACAGCACATAAGCAACAGATTAACCACAGCAGACGGGGACATTTCTGGTCTTGTTGGATCTTCAGTCGGTAACACTGGAGTGTGAAGAGCAGATTGTAGGCTCGTCTATGCAGATCTTCACTCGTGGCTTTTGAATAGGTCAGCTTCACTGACTTCACCCATTCACACCTGCTCTCCACTGACAAAGTGACGTTCAACCAGAAGCCACAAGGACACAGAGCGAGTCACAGGTGAACATCAGAGACTAACTGCTGTCAGCAAAGATGAGACATTCTCATAGTCACAGCAATGAAGAGGTTTGCCTTTACACCTGCTGCTCCTGTACTTCATTCACTGCAGTGTTTTAGCTCCTCATAACTTACACATGAAGTCTATTTACCAACAAAAGGCTTCTTCTATTCGAGCGTTTCATACAGTACATCTCCTTCTATAGCATCACATGACATGTCACAAGGACTGCGTTCAGGGTTACGGGCAGATTTCCCCAACACGCAGATGTCTTCTTGTTCTCAGCAGCTGTAAACAGTGAATGAAGACCATGGCGCTTTGGGAGCTATAGCTGTTTTTTGACACAGTCAAACAGACTTAATGCTCAGCATTTAAAAGGACGGGCGGAGGGAGGGTGGTGCCAAACAGCTGTGTACAGACACAACGTGGAAAAGAACAGACATTCGTTTGGAAACAACTTAAAGGCAAACAATCAGGATCAAACCAGGTGTGGATTGAAAACACAGGTGCTAAAGCAGTTTCAACATCACACAGGCTCCCGGCTCACATTCAGAGCTCGTCTCTCTCACACTTACCGACAACGTGCCACAGAACCGCTGTGCACACCGGAGGAATGTTCTCAACGAAATATAACATTTACAGAAATATTCATAACTCGATGGGATCATCTTGCACCCAGGGACATTTAAAGAACAATAAAATAAAAACAACAGATTGTCTGAATACAGACCAACCAATCAAAACACTGAGGAAAACAATATATAAACGACACATGTGCAGAAGTGAAACCCCACCGATCGCTGTGATAACTCAAACATTTTACAAAAGAAAAATCAGGACTGCTTGCAGGATCCTTCAGCCAACAATACAAACCCTTGTTGCTCTTCATGTTTCATAATTGTTCTCCAAAATAAAAGGTAAGACAGCAACCTGCATTAAATGCATACAGTGACATTCTCAGGTCGCAGGAAACCAAAGGGATCAATGTGTAGCTGGCGTTCGATAACTCACGTGCAACTTTCATTCTTCCCTTTAAAAACCTCACGCATGGAAATCAGTAGATCAATAGCGGCTTTACCGTACGGTCCTTGTAAGGAACGGCCTTGAAACTATTTTCATTTTGACATGAAAAAGGAAACAAACAAATTACAGGTGACGCTCGACGCCCACATCCCCGTATTTTAAATGCAGTCTTATTTTAGTGCAGAGCCTCCACACAGATCTGCTCTTCGGTAATGTCGTCCAGCAGCGGCACATCTACGGGGCTGCACATGTCGCTGTCGTAGACCTCTGTCCCCAGGAGCGCCTCTTCCTCCAGACCTTCTTCTTTGCCCTTAAAGCCTCGCTGCTCTGAAGGAGAAGTGCTTTCCACCGACTCCAAGTCCTCGATCCCTGCGCGGTAGTGAATCATGAGCAGGGTGAGGGCCTGGAGTCTCTCCCCTGACTTGGCCAGGGCAGTGCTGATAAGGGCCTTGCGGCGTGCATCTGTGGCTTCCCTCTCCTCCAGCAGAAGGGTGTTATTGTGCTCCAGCTCCTGGTCAATTTCCTGTTGCAGTTTGTCCAGCATCAACTCCAACTTCTGGGAGCGCTCGTCTGTGGGCAGCCCCCGGTAAAGGTCGCGACCTATCTCCTTCACAGCTATGAACACACTGTCGTCCAGCCCGCCCTCCTTACGTACCAGTTTACTGCTCCCACCGCTTCCAGCTGGCTGCTTTGAGGGGCTGGCACCACTGGTGTACGTTTCAGTATCGCTGCTTTCATTGTCAGATGTGTTGGGGGTATGTTTAGGCGAGGGCTCCACCGCTCCCGGCACCACGTCGGCTACCTGTTCGGTAAACCGAGCCTTGGGCACCTGGCGAAGGTTAAGCAGACGGGAGCTGGTGTTGATAATGTGGCGAGTTAGACCCGTGGTGGCGCGGTTTATGGTGGATTTGGCTTCGAGGTCAGCTCCACGGCGTTCGGCTGTGGCCACACAAAAAGGATTTTCAGTGAGGCACTTCTCCTGGCACTTTTTGTGGCAAACATAGGCGCAGACCATGCACTGAGAGGCTGCCTTGGTCCAAACCTTTTTCTTGCAGTACTCACACCAGGTGGGGTTCTGGAACTGTGTGTCCTGGAAGTTATGACGGACCTCCTGCAACTGCAGAGCGCTGTAGGTCAAGTCCTCGCGTGGCGCTGCAGGGACGGGCTCCCTCTCCCTCAGCTCCTCCTCCTGAACACTGCCCTCTGTTTCTCTTTCCACCAGCCCAACCGGATAGTCCAGCTCCCCTTCAGCTAAGTAACAGAAGTTTAAAGTAACATCTCCATAACACAGCTTCTCATTGAAACCTTTGTGGGTGCTGAGACTGCGTAATGCAGTGCGACTGACGTTAGCTCTGGGCTCTGGAGCCCCCAACCTGAAGGTGCTCTGGTACTCTCCTGAAGATGTGGCCATACATTCCAGAGCTATGTGCTCCAACTGGAGGCTCACATGACCCAGGCATATCAGACTGCCCAGTTTAAAGGGATCTTTGCACCACAGGGCCACATTAAGGTATTTATGGTTGCTCTCTACCTCAAACACCACAGATGCCTTGGACCAGTGTGCCGTTTGGTTACGAAACATGGTTTCTGTGGATTCCCACAGGGAGTGGTCCTCTACACTGTCCCGTGTACTGGAGGAGCTCTCCGATGCTTTGTCCTTTGCTTGATCGGCCTTGCTGCTGCTGCTGGTCACAGTTGATGGAAGTACCTCCTCACTCGTGTCCGTTGCCTTGCTGGACTGTTTTGCCTCCGTTTGTTTGACGCATGCCTTCTCGGTGGCAGACTTGTCCTCACCGGGTCCAGCGCGCTGAACCTTTTCTGGAGACTTTTCTGAAGCACTGGTCGTCTTAGTAATGGAAGGAGCAGCGGTGACATTAGCAGCTGCAGAATCCACACTTTCCAAAAGGCTCGTTTCGGAGGATGCCGACGTCAACCTTATCTGCGGTCGTGGTGGAACTGGAGGGCGGGAAGGGGGAGGTGGGGGAGGGACAGTAGGGCGTTGCAGAACCTCCCCTGGATCACTACTGGTCTTTTGTGGGGAGGGCTTTGGTGATTCTTTGGGCTGGGGCTTTAGTGGTGACTGGAGACCCACCAGGTTTAACTTGCGGTTGAGGATGGGTGATATAGTACCAAGAGGCTTAGAAGCCAGGTTGGCTACAGTCCTTTTGGGGCTTTGGTTTACTGTAAGTAAGAAATCCTCCTTGGTCTCACTGATAATTGTGGCACTGCTATTTTGCCCAGCAGTGCCACCGCTAGACTTGGATTCCACAATCAACTCTTCAAACTCAGAGTCTACGTCTTTGCTGTCAGACAGGTCAGAAAGGGTGCTGATGGGGGCTGGCTCTTCCTCATAACCTGCTTGCTGGGACATGAAACCAATTTCTTCAAGTCCTTCCTGCAGAGCTGCCGGGTTTCCCAAAGAGGGAGTCTGATGACGTACTGGTCTCTCGTAAAGTACCAACACCTTTTCTCCGGCCTGCTTTAACAGTTTTGGTACCTGAACCGAGGACGTCACTTTAACACCTGTTAACGAGAAAAGAAGAATGAGATCATGCAAGTTTCAAATTAGAAGTGCAAAGAAACGAATGTTTCACGTTAGAAAGTTACACAAACACCTCGGACCTCCAATTTCAATGAGACGATCACCCTTTTGCAGCTCTGCCAAAGCTGCTGGGGAGTTGGGCAAAACTGTCTCGATGCAAACATGCACTGCATCGCCCTCACTGGCAGTGACGTGCCTGAACGTCATCCCCACACTGCCACATGTCCCCTTGATAATCTCCGTCTGATGCAAGAGAGAAAGAAGAAAAAAAGCACATTTAAGACTACGACCGACTAGTGGTTAAAAGTCACAAACGTTTACAAATGTTTAACTTTGTATAGTAATGCAGTGTGAGAGAGGTTTAATGTAGTCATACGCTGTTTTGGAAGAACGTGTAAATAGTTAGGTGTGAGAAATAAAAAATATTGCAAAAATGAATTAGTTTGTTTTTTGAAGCTCCTTCCAATGAGTCCGAGTTAGCAGGTTACTGTGTTTGAAACGGTCACAAACAGCTTCTTGAATAATCCGACCCCATCTTTGAGACCTGATGGGCACCTAAACCGAGCACTGTTGAGCACAGTGGGTGCCCCCACAGGTTTAAAACTTTCCTTTTTGCTACAGCATATAGTTAGGGCTGGAGCTCTGAAGCTTAGGCTGCTGGGGGATTCCCATGATGCACTGGGTGTTTCTTCTTCATTCATTTTTAATCAATCTTTTTGTTAAACCCACTAAATTAAAGCTGAAAGCCTGCACTTCAACTCCATCCTAGTTGTTTTATTGAAACTTGATTGTGGTAATGTACAGAACCGATGGTAGAAAAAGCTGATATTTTGTGACCTAACTGGATGTTCCAGGATGAAAGAGCAGGTGGAAAACACATGAAGAGACCCATGTCTGGTTTACAGAGAACAATAAAGGGGGGCTGACACGATGTGAGCAGACTGAGACAAACGACTGTAATCTCCCTGCTGTGGATTTGTTACAGTTCTGCTGGAAGGCAGCGAGTGAGTTGGTGCTGTCCATGAATAAGCATCTGATCTATATAGTCTGCACAGTTGGTTAAGGTGCACATAAAGTCAAACATCACATTATATACTGTTTATAAAAACTGATCCATTCTCTTTATGTCAAATGTTTCTTATTTTAAAATGTCTCATTATACGGGATAAGTAAGCTTGACATTTAAAACCTCTCCATTTTCATTCATCACACAACTGCGGGAAGCAGAGTCAGCACTGATGCTTCCCAGCACCAACCAGCAGAGCGTACTGCAGGAGTCGGCATGGCCCCCTGCCTGGGTGGGTGTCCTCCAAGTACTCTGCTTCCCCTCAGCTACACTAACTGGTGTTTCTAAATGATCTACCCAACATACAGTGTGTTTAAACAGAATAAAGAGCGACATGTTAGCGTGTAGCTGTCAGTGTGTGCGTATTTGCCTGCACCATTGTGTCGCACATTGATAAAATCTGGAGCAGGACTCCAGTCATGCATGGGGCTGGGAATAATTCAGCTCAGTGTGAGAGTCTTCATTGTGCTTCATTAATGGGCTCACTGGTTTCCTTTCTCGTCTGCCTCACAAACAGCGTCACCACTTGCTTCCTGTGTGTGTAGTTGTATTACTGATATGTTGGGTACAATAGAGTTCCATTTGGGGAGAAAAAGAGGTTCCCGGCGAAGTGAATCGTGGAGAAGGGTAAGTAGTGGACACGATCTGGTCTCCAGGAAATGAAGGTAAGTTAATGTAATGTTCTCTGAAATGATTAAAAAAAGATTGAGTGTGTGTCTCAAGATTTAATCTGATCTGGCCATGTTGAAGACTATAACACTGCAGAGTCAACAGGTTGCTGCAGGCCAAAATGAAGACGTTAACCCAGCACATCCTACAGGCACCTACTGCATAACACATGATCAAAAATGCACTAAGTGTGCAACTGTGAGTCATGCTCATGCTAATGAGAATTACAAAACGATTCAATGACTGATGTTTATATGAATACAGGCGTGTTTACTTTTGGTTTTCTACACTCTTATGAAGAGTAGGTTTTAATAAACACATTACCAGCTGTACAACGTTATAAAACTGGTCTGGTTGTGCTTTGAGGTAGGAGCCAAAAAGGGTGTAGTTTGTGGGTGTGATCACCCATGTGTACACCTGTGAGCATGGACGCGCTTGTTTTTAAAAGGTTCCTTCATGTAACGATCTGCTAGGGAGTGTGGGGGGCCACAGCAACGTCCTCCAGGGCATGAAGCAGGTATGGAGGAGATCAAGACTCCAGACATCCAGAGGCCCCCAGAACACAAGGCTCCTACCTCAAAGCACACTGTGCGCTGTCGATCTTATGTGCTGCACAATAATGTTTAATATTTTGTATTTACTGTTATATTCCCATATATCATCGTGATGTTGTTTATTGTATTGCTCTCATTTTCTTCTGCTTGTTTTATTTTTTCTTTCTCAACAGGTGATCCAGATGATCGATATATGCATTTTTTTGTCTGCTTATTTAGTTGGTTTTTGTTTTTTGCCCTTTATCCCCGTCCCTCTTCTCCGCTGTTTTTCCCCCCTTCTTTCTTTCTCCCTTTTCTTTTCCTCATTCAAGTCTGTCCCGTATCTAGCAATTGAAAATAAAAAATAAATAAAATAAACAATAAAAGGTGAATCAAATAGACCATTACGGCAAGGCTGGGATGGTCCATTTGGTAAAGTAAATCCGTTGGGCATCTTTCTTCGCCTTTAGACAATAATTCTGATGGCAGAAGAACCAAACGGGACAGGCAAAAATAAATAAATAAATAAAAATAAATAAATAAAAAAGAATTCTGGTTGTGCTTACTGACCTCAACCGATTTTATGTGCTACACGGCGCTCAAAAATATTTTAATATGACTTTGGTGAGCTACGAAGCCGCACCGCTTGATGGACTGTTGGAGCATTACGGCTACCGTAGTCAGGAGCCTCGGAGAGGAATCTGGGTCCTAAACTCTGTCGCTTCAGGTCCCAAAGTCAAACAAACACTGCAGCATCACTGAGAGTTAAAAACGGTCTAAATTCTTTCATCTGTAATAAAATGATCAGCGTTCTGCTCTACCAGGTGTAACAATTAAGTTTAACATCCAGGCATCCATGAAAACAGAATTTATTACATTTAACAGAGTTAGAAGTTAGCAGGAAGTTAGCTCGCTAGCTTCCACCTAAGCATGACATACCATGTTCTGACTGAGAGATTTCTGAAAAAATTCAAACGCACAGCTCTGTTATCACTTCCAGCATAAATGAAGACAGAAAACTAAACAGCAGTGACGTTTGTAGGGTTACTGAAGTTGGGCTAGCTGGTATTTAATGATGTGCTACCTGACTGCTAGCGACACAGCTATGTTAGCATAAACACAGTGAAGCTGGAGGATGAACGGTAACTTCTTTTCACTCGATAAAAGTTAACGTGAGGGTTCCCGATGGTTAGGGACAAATGCAATCGCATGGCAGGATGCTGTAAACGGACCAAACTTCAGCAGGAGAACAACTGAGATAATCCATCCACAATACGAGGTTAGTCATTAATATACTGCAACAACATGGGAATAGAGCAGCTGTGAGAGAATTCAGCATTAATGAATCAATGGTACAGAAGTGGAGGAAGCAAGAAGAATGAGTTGAATAAAGTTAGACTTATCTGACTGTCTTGTTTAATGCGCCTTACGTATAAGAAAATATGGTAGTTGTAATGTGTGTCTATGAATGATAAAATAATTTCACTTAATTTAGACAACATTTATATATCACTAAGGTATTAACTAGCAACTCTGCAAACACAGTGGCTGACTGTTTTATTTATTATCTGCTGCATAATACACTGGCATACGGCGGGGAGGGGGCGGGACTTCAGGTTCTGAAAGGTGAGAGTAGGTGATGAGGAGCAGCCTTGTAGCTGTGTGTATACAGCTGCTGTACCAATGCCTACAATAGATTTGCAGGAGAACACAAGTCCATCCTGCTCAAGTGCAAATACACACACACACACACACAGTCACTGTCACTCATATGCACCCAATTATACAGCAGCACAAAGGCCCAGTGCTAATATTAGCTCGTTTTCAAGACATAAATCTGCAGTTTCATTTTTTTTAAAAAACAAAACCCTCCTAAACCTGTTCTATTAGTTTGTATTTAAATACAGTGACCAAGTGTAGAAGGAGAAATTGAATATATGAACATAAGAGTAAGTTTACTGCAAGGTCAGCCACATTTAAAATGTGAAGGATTCATGGTCTTATAAACATGGTTCACATGGAAGTCAAACTTGGGAACCTCTAGCCCAGGGGCGTCCAACTCCAGGCCTCGAGGGCCGGGGTCCTGCAGGTTTTACATGTGTCCTTGATCCAACACAGCTGATTTGAATGGCTAAATCACCTCAACATGTCCTGAAGTTCTCCAGACGCCTGGTAATGAACTCATTTTATTTAGGCGTCGTGACCCAGGGTGAGATCTAAAACCTGCAGGACACCGGCCCTTCAGGCCTGGAGTTGCCACCCCTGCTGTAGTCCATATTTGCCATAGATATTCCCACACAATATCCCAGGCACTTTGCTGTGTCCATCAGTGTACGATGTCCCAACTTACATGCTACATGTGGGGGACCTGACTGCTCTATGAACCTGGTGCATAATAAAAAAATAATAATAATAAAAATAAAAATCACACAGTCTTTGTTTACACAGTCAAAATGTAAACAAAGACGCTGTGCGTAATAAGCTTCTTCTCTACGTAATTCAGCTTCTACTGCGTGACTGACAGCCTGGAGTTTGAAATCCACTTCGTAAACACGTCTCTGAACAGGTGCCATTTATGGTCCTTATACACACACAATACGCTAATATTACGTGAAGCACAGTGCGTATCACTCCGCGAGGCTCCTCGGTAGCCGTTAGTGATGGGATTTCCGGCTCTTTTTAGAGAACCGGCTCTTTCGGCTCTGAACCGGCTCTTCAGGTTGTTTTGTTGCTTTAATTAATTTATTATTAACAATAATATAAAATTATGCACAAAAGGAATTACTAATGTAAAAAAAAAAAAAAAGTGGTTTTATTTATACATGTTTATATATAAATATATGCAGTGGCCCCTAGAGACAAAACACATACAAACTCCAAAACACATTTCTAGCATAAGTGATGTAGGTAGCTCTGAACTTCCAAAACAGAGCTACCTAGATCTCGTAAATTACACAATTGAAAGCATGAAAGCA